CACATTCTCAATCAATCTGAAGACCCATTTCACCATGCAAAGAACCATTTAAGCAAGCTAAGTGTTCTTTGCGTGTTCATGGTTCTATATAGAACCTTTTTCTTTACTAAAGAACCCTTGAAGAACCATCTTTTTAAGGAGAAAGGTGTAAGTTACATTGTAAACGCTGTACACTGTAAATGCATTCACATTAAAAAAGCACTAATGCATATTCACACACTAATATGCAAATGGAACACCTGTGGTGCTGCGGGTTCTGGCCAATCGGAGCGAAGTTACGCAGACGAGGTTCGGAGATGAGAAAGGTTAAGTGAGTCAGCGCGGCTGAAATATGCTAATCCAGACGCTTATTTGCGGAGCGAGTGCGAGTGCGGTCTGCTCAGAGTGCTTTTCTCCCTGGAGGTCCGCAGATTAGCAGCCTGGAAACAGGACCCACCCCAGCCTGTGTGTGTGTGTGTGTGTGTGTGTGTGTGTTGGGGGGGTTGGGGGGTGTCAGAGCTCTGAGTCATCAGCTCCTCATCACAGACAGCAGCACTAATTCAGCTCTGCAGGAGATCAACCCAGTCTGACTGAGGAGAGCAGAACTGAGACTATATACACAACACTGAGAGAGAGAGAGAGAGAGAGAGAGAGAGAGAGAGAGAGAGAGAGAGAGGGAGAGAAGAGAGAGAGAGAGAGTCAAAGAGGGAGAGAGAGAGAGAGAGAGAGATTCTGAGAGAGAGGTGAGAGAGAGGGGGAGAGACGAGAGAGAGAGAAGAAAATAGAGAGAATCAGAGAGAGAGAGAGAGAGAGGGAGAGGATAAGAGAGACAGCTAAAGTGAGAGAAAACAGACACAGACAGACAGACACCTACAAAGAGGAAGAAAGAGAGTGAGAGAAAGGAGAGAGATGAGCAATAAAGAGAGAGCAAGAGTACAGCTAATGTAGACAGATGAAGATGAAGATGAAGACAGACAGAAAGCAAGAGAGAGAGGGAGGCTAGAAAAAGAGACGACAAGAGTCAAAGAAAGACGTGTGTGTGTGTATGAGAGAAAGAGAGAAAGAGAGGAGAGAGAGAGAGAGAGAGAGAGAGAGAGAGAGCGTGAGAGACATCCGTTCTGATTAATTGCCAGCAGATGCAGAGCTCTCCAGATCAGCTTCATTAGCATGCCGGTCTATAAAGCTAAAGAGCTCGTTTGAAAAAGGCGGCGAGCGACAGATTGGAAACATTTGCAGTGATGAACAGAAAATAAGCGTATATTTCCATCTCTCAGCTCACGGCTGAGCGTTACGGTGTAGAGGATCCACGCAGAGCAGCGTTTAACCGAGAGGTTCAGCGCAGGTCACACCGCAAACTCGTCAGAGAACGCGCCGCACGCAGGCTACGCTAAACGATCGACGAAGACATCCAACACGCTCTGAACATCGCCAGGAGACGAACAGCTCAAACAGAAACTCATCCAGTTCAGGGGGTCACAGTCATTTATACTGTATTAAAGCTGATCAGAGAGAAAACTGCAACTTTACGCTTTTTAGCACATTTTTGAGTGGGCGTGGTTAGACGGTGTAAGTATGAAGACTGGGTGAGTGAGTGGGCGTGGTTAGACGGTGTAAGTATGAAGACTGGGTGAGTGAGTGGGCGTGGTTAGACGGTGTAAGTATGAAGACTGGGTGAGTGAGTGGGCGTGGTTAGACGGTGTAAGTATGAAGCCTGGGTGAGTGAGTGGGCGTGGTTAGACGGTGTAAGTATGAAACCTGGGTCAGTGGGCGTGGTTAGACGTGTAAGTATGAAACCTGGGTCAGTGGGTGTGGTTAGACGGTGTAAGTATGAAGGCTGGGTGAGTGAGTGGGCGTGGTTAGACGGTGTAAGTATGAAACCTGGGTCAGTGGGCGTGGTTAGACGGTGTAAGTATGAAGCCTGGGTCAGTGGGCGTGGTTAGACGTGTAAGTATGAAACCTGGGTCAGTGGGTGTGGTTAGACGGTGTAAGTATGAAGGCTGGGTGAGTGAGTGGGCGTGGTTAGACGGTGTAAGTATGAAACCTGAGTCAGTGGGCGTGGTTAGACGGTGTAAGTATGAAGCCTGGGTGAGTGAGTGGGCGTGGTTAGACGGTGTAAGTATGAAGACTGGGTGAGTGAGTGGGCGTGGTTAGACGGTGTAAGTATGAAGCCTGGGTGAGTGAGTGGGCGTGGTT